CCGTATGTCTGTCCGTTTCTCTATCTGTCTGTCTGTCTCTCCGTCTGTCTGTCTGTCTCTAAGTCCATCTGTCTGTCTCTCCATCTGTCTGTCTGTCTCTCCGTATGTCTGTCTGTTTCTCCATCTGTCTGTCTGTCTCTATGTATGTCTGTCTGTCTCTAAGTCCATCTCTCTGTCTCTCCATCTGTCTGTCTGTCTCTCCATCTGTCTGTCTCTCCATCTGTCTGTCTGTCTGTCTCTCCATCTGCCTGTCTGTCTCTCCATCTGTCTGTCTCTCCATCTGTCTGTCTGTCTGTCTCTCCGTCTGTCTGTCTCTCTCTCCGTCTGTCTGTCTCTCTGTCTGTCTCTCTGTCTGTCTGTCTGTCTCTCCATCTGTCTGTCTCTCTGCTGATGTGTGGTCTCTTGTTTCCCTGTAGTCTCCGCAGGTCTCGTGCGCTGATCGTCTCCGTGTGGTCACGTGGGCTTCAGCGAGCGCTGCTGATTGTGACAGACGGAGCCGCGGGCAGCAGATAAAGCGGATTGTACTGAACATCACATCGCTGCTCTTCACAGGCGGTCCGCAGGGGAGCAGCGCTGGAGAACTGTCTTTAACAGCGTCGGCCCTTCAGCAGGAGCCAGAGATGGCTGATGTGATGCTGCTGCTGGCCAAGATCAGCCCAGCGCTGCAGAAGAGTGATGCGCATCAGCACCGCGCTGCCAGAACAGCCAGCATCAGGAGTTTCCAGAGTCTTCTCTAAGCTTTTGTACACAAGATCCTATTTTTGATATTTTCTCAGAGGATTTTAAAGATGTCACACACACACACACACACACACAACACACACACACACACACACACACACACACACACACACACAACACATATGATGGAGGAGGACGAGGTGTTTATCTACTGATTAAAAACAACATGAAGAGAAATCATGAGCGTCTGAGCATCTGTTCATGAGCTGTGTGTGTGTGTGTGTGTGTGTGTGTGTGTGTGTGTGTGTGTGTGTGCTGCTGCTGCTGTTAATGGACACAAGAGGGCGCTCATGTCATCACATCTCTCTCTCTCTGTGTGTATGTGTTCCAGTCATGTGTGTTTCCTCACGTCGATGTGTTTGGGTGTGTGTTTGGGATCTAGTGTGTGTGTGTGTGTTCCTTTTATACATTCCCTTATGTCAGATTGTGTGTGTGTGTGTTCCAGTCATGTGTGTTTCCTTACATTATTGTGGGTGTGTGTGTGTGTGTGTGTTCCAGCCTCACATTATTGTGTGTGTGTGTGTGTGTGTTCCAGCCTCACATTATTGTGTGTGTGTGTGTGTGTGTGTTCCAGCCTCACATTATTGTGTGTGTGTGTGTGTGTGTGTGTTCCACTTATGCGTTTCCTTATGTCATTTTGTGTGTGTGTGTGTGTGTGTGTTCCAGTCATGTGTGTTTCCTTACATTATTGTGGGTGTGGGTGTGTGTGTGTTCCACTTATGCAATTCCTTATGTCTCTGTGTGTGTGTGTGTGTGTGTGTGTGTGTGTGTGTGTGTGTGTGTGTGTGTGTTCCAGCCTCACAATATTGTGTGTGTGTTACACTCATGCGTTTCCTTGTGTCTGTGTGTGTGTGTGTGTGTGTGTGCGCGTTCCAGTCATGTGTTTCCTCACATCATTGTGTGTGTGTGTGTGTGTTCCAGTTATGTGTTTCCTCATGTCAGTGTGTGTGTGTGTGTGTGTGTGTGTGTGTGTGTGTGTGTTCCAGCCTCACATTATTGTGTGTGTGTTTGTGTTACACTCATGCGTTTCCTTGTGTCTGTGTGTGTGTGTGCGCGCGCGTTCCAGTCATGTGTGTTTCCTCACATCATTGTGTGTGTGTGTGTGTGTGTGTGTGTGTTTGAGATCTTGTGTGTGTGTGTGTGTGTGTGTTCCAGTTATGTGTTTCCTCATGTCAGTGTGTGTGTGTGTGTGTGTGTGTGTGTGTGTGTTTGAGATCTAGCATGTGTGTGTGTGTGTGTGTGTGTTCCAGTTATGTGTTTCCTCATGTCAGTGTGTGTGTGTGTGTGTGTGTGTGTGTGTGTGTGTGTGTGTGTGTGTGTGTGTTTGAGATCTAGCATGTGTGTGTGTGTGTGTGTGTGTGTGTGTGTGTGTGTGTTCCAGTTATGTGTTTCCTCATGTCAGTGTGTGGTTGGTGTGTGTGTGTGTGTGTTTGAGATCTAGCATGTGTGTGTGTGTGTTCCAGTTATGTGTTTCCTCATGTCAGTGTGTGTGTGTGTGTGTGTGTGTGTTTGAGCATGTCTATGTAAGAGTGTGTGTATATTTGTGTCATGGGTGAGGGTGTGTGTGTATATGAGTGAGTGTGTGAGCAAGAATGTGTGTGTGTGTTGCTGGTTTTCATCACGTTCTGAGCACCAATGTGTCCAGCAGCAGCAGTAAATGTTGATGTTGTGTGTTGGTTGATTTGGTCTCCATGAGGAAAAGAGCTGATCAGTCAGACAGAGTGAAGGAGTGTGCGTGTGTGTGTGTGTGTGTGTGTGTGTGTGTGTGTGAGGGTTTGCTGGTGAATTCTCCGTGTGTTTAATACGTCCTGTGTGTGTCTAGTAGCAGTTTCCCCTGCGGAGCGTCGGCTCATTATAAAGCAGATTAAAGTGTTGAGATCAGCGTCTCGCATCTGCTTCTCATTCACTTCTGAACCTGCAGAGTTTATACACACAGGTAAACACTCTCACTTTGATCCTCACACACCGCTGCAGACGCCGCTCGCTTTCCCCTGAGCTGAGCAAAACATGGAGCCTGTGTGTGTGTGTGTGTGTGTGTGTGTGTGTTTGTGTGTGTGTGTGTGTGTGTGTGTTTCACAAGATGACTTTAGCCGGCACGGTGGCGCAATGGTTAACACCGTAGCCTCACAATAAGAAGGTCTCTGTTTCGAGTCCTGGCTGAGTCAGTTGGTGTTTCTGTGTGGAGTTTGCATGTTCTCCCCGTGTTGGTGTGGGTTTCCTCCGGGTGCTCCAGTTTCCCCCACAGTCCAAACACATGCGCTATAGGGGAACTGATCAACTAAACTGGCTGTAGTGTATGAGTGCATATGCTGGAATAGTTGGCGGTTCATTCCACTGTGGTGACCCCTGATGAATAAAGGGACTAAGAAGAAGGAAAATGAACGAATGGAAGAATTCATAATTGATTGGGATCATAAAACCACAGCCACATCTACCTGCAGACCCACACCGGTCCCTCACTGACGCTAAGCAGGGCTGAGGCTGGTCAGTGTCTGGATGGGAGAGCACATGGGAACACTAGGCTGCTGTTGGCAGTGGTGTCAGAGAGGCCAGCAGGGGGCGCTCAACCTGCTTTCAGTGTGAGTCCTTATGCCACAGTATAGTGAAGGGGACTCTATACTGTCAGTGAGCGCCGTCTTTCAGATGAGATGTTAAACCGAGCTCCTGCCTCTCTGTGCTCATTAATAACCCCATGGCACTTCTGGTAAAGAGTAGGGGTGTAACCCCATCATGCCCCCCCAATCATCCCCATCCACTGATTGGCTCCATCACCGTCTCTCCACTCCACCTATAGCTGCTGTGTGGTGAAGCGCTGGCGCTGCTGTCCTGTGGCTGCCGGAGCATCATCAGGTGGTGTGTGGAGAGACCCCCCTCATGATGGTGAAGCTGCGCTATATAAATACACATCACATTACAATAACACATTTAAAATAATCTCGTGAATCAGACGTTTTAACCCACACAATGCACTTTAGGCTGAATCCCCTCCACAATACCAATAACACACTAATGACCGGCTGAAGCAGGTGTAGCGTGACGGGTGTTTTATAGGACTCCACTGCGCAGAGGTCAGTGCTTATAAACACGAGTGCTCTGGTTTCACTGCTGTTCTGAGGTCAGCACAATCTGGACAAAAACACTCCAAGCCCAAACCACCGTTCCACAAATTCAATAAAAACACACAGACATCACATTCTGCTCCGAAAATACTGCGAGCAGAGGCTCGACAACAGCAACATCACACACTCACGCTCATTTGCTGGAGCTCTCTGAGGAAAAACACTCAGAAATGTCAGAGTTGTGTCAAAACTGTGTTGACTTTCCTTTTGTTGACTCCTTAAAGCAAAATAAACGAGAATAAGACTAGTTTCAATTAGCATTTCAGTTCAAATTGTTATAATGTTGGCTGACGTGGCTCAGTGGTTAGCCTTATAGTAAGAAGGTCACAGGTTCAAGTCCCAGCTGGGTCAGTGTGCAGTTTGCATGTTCTCCCCGTGTTGGCGTGGGTTTCCTCCGAGTGCTCCGGTTTGGCCGTAGTGTATGAGTGTGGTTCCCAGTTACTGGGTTGCAGCTGGAAGGGTATCTGCTGCTAAAACATATGCTGTAATAGTTGGCAGTTCATTCCGCTGTGGCGACCCCTGATTAATAAAGGGAGTAAGCTGCAGGAAAGTGAATGAGCGTTATAATGTTGCTGTGATTCTGTCATTTGTTATATAATTTAGTGTTTTAGGATCTGCTCCTCCACATCCAGAGAAGTCAGCTGAGGTGGCTCGGGCGCCTGTTCGGATGCCTCCTGGACGCCTACCTAGGGAGGTGTTTCAGGCATGTCCCACCAGGAGGGGGCATCGGGGAAGACCCAGGACACGCTGGAGGGACTATGTCTCTCGGCTGGCCTGGGAACACCTCGGGATCCCCCTGGAGGAGCTGGAGGAAGTGTCTGGGGAAGGGGGAAGTCTGGAGTTCTCTCCTAAGACTGCTGCCCCCGCGACCCGGCCCTGGAAAGGCGGCAGCTTTTATATGTAGCCTAGTTATTTTTCTACATGAAGTTAGACAAAATTAAAATGAAAACTGTTTGGCTGTAAGGGTCATCATCACTGTGAAGTGCCTTTGAGACCCACATTTGAAACATGAGAAAGTGTGTGTGTGTGTGTGTGTGAGAGAAAGTGTGTACGTGTGTGAGAGAGAAAGTGTGCATTTGAGAGAGACAGAAAGTGTGTGAGAGAAAGTGTTCAGCAGTGTGTGTGTGTGTGTGTGTGTGTGTGTGTGTGTGTGTGTGTGTGGTCAGCAGCTCCTCCTCCTCATCAGGTTTCTGTTCTCCTGTTCCCAGTGTATGATGGAAGGTCTCTGCATTCTTCCTTTGAGTGTGTGTGTGTGTGTGTGTGTGTGTGTGTGTGTGTGTGTGTGCGTGTGAAAGAAAGCTAGAGAGGCAGTGTGTGTGAAGCTTCAGGTCTGTTCTCAGTGTATGATGGAGCGTCCCGGTGTTCTCCCTCTGCTGCTGCTCTGTGTGTGTGTTCTCCTCCAGCCGGCTGCGTCTCAATCCTCCGCGGGCTCCAGAGCAGCAGCAGCAGCACAGCGCTCCCGCACCCACTGGGTCACCAACGGCCGGGTGTTCCAGCTGCGCAGCCGCGGGCCACAGTATCAGCCGGCGGGCAGAGCAGAGGCAGCCCGACCAGAAGCTCCCGCAGCGGAGCAGAGGAACTCCAGCAGCAGATCTGAGGATGGGATGGTGTCCGATGACCCCTATGACCCCTACAAATCCATCAGGAACAACCCCTACAACCCATACTACAACTACTACGACTCCTACTACCGGCCCAGGCACCGCAGCACGCAGAGGCATCACGGATACGGGACCCGCTACTTCCAGAACGGTGAGAATGAAGATGATCGATGTGTGATATTAAAAACTACCGCTTCATGATCAGCCTATATGTTTATTTACATCATCCCCTGTGTGCTGTCGGGTCGCTTTCATCCACTCTGGGCTGATTTTGAGTCTTAATTTGGCCTCATCTTTCTCCGGGTTTCAGCAGATGTGATCATTTCTGCTGACTAATCTTACTTTGACTCATATTTTGGGGAAATGTTTTGGAATTATTCAATACTCTGTTCAGACTGACTCTCCTATGGTGATGTTAGTAGCTGTTTTCCCCATTGACTTCCATTATAATCACGTTTATTGATTGTAAAGCCACGGCAGCAGATAATCCTGCATTCTTCAGTGTTGCTGGTTTCTCTGTTGGGATGAAGAGTGTGTTATTTTAGTGCTGGAGGATATAACTCTTGAAAAGGATCTACTGTGTAGCCCTGATGAAGATGATGAGGAAGCACACATCTGTCCTGTGTTTGTGTGTGTGTGTCAGGTCTGCCGGATCTGGTGGTGGACCCTTACCTGATCCAGGTGTCCACGTATGTGCAGAGAGTGCCGATGTATAACCTGCGGTGCGCGGCGGAGGAGAACTGCCTGGCCAGGTCAGTATAGCAGCGGCGCAGCTCCTAACTTACAGCCCTGTGAGAGAATATTAGGGGTTTGGCCCCCTGCTAACATACATTAAAACTATCCGTTAACTGCATTATGGGATGTTGATCTCTGCTCTGTCCACTTCTGATGATGTAAACTCAGCTCTACAGTTTACCAAAGAGACTTTCACTGACATTTTAGAGGTTTGAGATGATATCAGAGACAATCTGTAGAGGAATAAGAGTGTAGAGTAAGAGTAAATTGACAAGGAGTCTGTAGCGTAATATACAACACCAACACACACACACACACAGTACAGCACTGCACACTGTTACACATGTGCAGAACACACACTTTTACACACTTGTATAGGTTAAAAGCTGCTGGTGGAAAGATCAAGATCCCATAATGCAACTCACCAGCAGAAATCAACATTAAATAAATAAAACATGAATCACAAAATATGTGAAACTGCTATTTTATGGATATTTTTAGTGCAGTAATATAGCAGATCGGTCATCATTTACTCCCCCTTCATTTGTTTCAAACCTTTATGAGTTTCTTTTTGGTGCTGAACTCAATTGAAGATATTGTGAAGAAAGCTGGAAGCCTGTAACCATTGACTTACCTTTGTTTTTCCTAGTATGGAAGTCAATGGTTACCAGTTTTCGGCATTCATCAAAATATCTTCTAGAAAGAATTTATCTTCAGAAAGTGAACCCTGATAAAGAATAAGACGAAAGAGAGTAAATAAGTAAATGACAAGATCAAAAATATTTTACAGCATATTTGTGTTTGCTGTTATAACACTGGTGTGAAGAACTGATCGTTAGTCTGTGTGTGTGTGTGTGTGTGTTTTTAGCTCAGCATCAGGAGCTGCAGACTACGACACGCGGGTTCTGCTGAGGTTCCCTCAGCGTGTCAAGAACCAGGGAACAGCAGATTTCCTGCCCAGCAAACCCAGATACGCCTGGGAGTGGCACAGCTGTCATAAGTGCGCAGATCACACACACACACACACACACACACACACACACACACCCACACACACACAAACACACACACACACACACACACACAGTGCAATACTACACAAAAACATTGCATTACTGCACAAACAACACTGCAATACTATACACTGCACACAACAATGCACTTGCAACCAAAAGCTGCACCCACAAAACTGCACACATTCCAGTGCAATATGCACACAAACACTGCAAACACAAAGCTGCACACACAACAATGCAATATGCATACAAACACTGTAATACTACACACTGCACACAACACTGCACTTGCACACAAACACTGCACACACAAACCTGCACACATACAATGCAATAACCACACAAACACTGCACTAATACACACAAACACTGCAATACTGCACACAAACACTGCACTACTGCACAAACAAACACTGCAATATGCACACAAACACTGCAATATGCACACAAACACTGCACTACTGCACACACAAACACTGCAATATGCACACAAACACTGCACTACTGCACACACAAACACTGCACTACTGCACACACAAACACTGCAATATGCACACAAACACTGCACTACTGCACACACAAACACTGCACTACTGCACACACAAACACTGCACTACTGCACACACAAACACTGCACTACTGCACACACAAACACTACACTACTGCACACACAAACACTGCACTACTGCACACACAAACACTGCACTACTGCACACACAAACACTGCACTACTGCACACACAAACACTGCACTACTGCACACACAAACACTGCACTACTGCACACACAAACACTGCACTACTGCACACACAAACACTGCACTACTGCACACACAAACACTGCAATATGCACACAAACACTGCACTACTGCACACACAAACACTGCACTACTGCACACACAAACACTGCAATATGCACACAAACACTGCACTACTGCACACACAAACACTGCACTACTGCACACACAAACACTGCACTACTGCACACACAAACACTGCACTACTGCACACACAAACACTGCACTACTGCACACACAAACACTGCACTACTGCACACACAAACACTGCACTACTGCACACACAAACACTACACTACTGCACACACAAACACTGCACTACTGCACACACAAACACTGCACTACTGCACACACAAACACTGCACTACTGCACACACAAACACTGCAATATGCACACACAAACACTACACTACTGCACACACAAACACTGCACTACTGCACACACAAACACTGCAATATGCACACAAACACTGCACTACTGCACACACAAACACTGCAATATGCACACACAAACACTACACTACTGCACACACAAACACTGCAATATGCACACAAACACTGCACTACTGCACACACAAACACTGCACTACTGCACACACAAACACTGCAATATGCACACACAAACACTGCACTACTGCACACACAAACACTGCACTACTGCACACACAAACACTGCAATATGCACACAAACACTGCACACAAACACTGCACTACTGCACACACAAACACTGCAATATGCACACACAAACACTGCACTACTGCACACACAAACACTGCACTACTGCACACACAAACACTGCAATATGCACACACAAACACTGCACTACTGCACACACAAACACTGCACTACTGCACACACAAACACTGCAATATGCACACAAACACTGCACTACTGCACACACAAACACTGCAATATGCACACACAAACACTGCACTACTGCACACACAAACACTGCACTACTGCACACACAAACACTGCAATATGCACACACAAACACTGCACTACTGCACACACAAACACTGCACTACTGCACACACAAACACTGCAATATGCACACAAACACTGCACTACTGCACACACAAACACTGCACTACTGCACACACAAACACTGCAATATGCACACACAAACACTACACACAAACACTGCACTACTGCACACACAAACACTGCACTACTGCACACACAAACACTGCAATATGCACACACAAACACTACACACAAACACTGCACTAATACACACAACACTGAAAAACTACAGATTCATAGTTTAACAGTTTAAAAACTGTATGACTATGGAAATCATACGCAATCACTCTTGATATCACTTGATATCAGAATTATTTATTATTTTGGTCTAGTAAAAAGACTTTAAGAGAGTGAATCATCATAGCAGTGTGTAGAGTCGTGATCCGCCGTCCTCTGTGTGTTTTAGCCACTATCACAGCATGAACGAGTTCTGCCATTACGATCTGCTGGACTCCAGAACTCAACAGAGAGTGGCTGAAGGCCATAAAGCCAGTTTCTGTCTGGAGGACACGTCCTGCGACCCGGGATACCACCGGCGCTACGCCTGCACGTCCCACACACAGGTCATTACTTCAGTTCAAGTCCTCTTTCATCAATTCATCAAGTTTCTGTAGCGCTTTCACAGATTAGATTGTGTCAAAGCAGCTTAACAGATGAAGTTTTCACAGTTTTCAGAGTTCAGCTCAGTTCAGTGTCATGTAAATGTGACTGCTGAAAGCCCAAACACTGAAGAGCAAATCCAGCCATGCACAAAACTACAGCACAACAATGCAAACGGCAGCCCTAATCACAGAGGACACCGAGATGATGAGCTGTAATCTACTGTGTGTGTGTGTGTGTGTGTGTGTGTGTGTGTGTGTGTGTGTGTGTGCACTACTGCACACACAAACACTGCACTACTGCACACACAAACACTGCAATATGCACACACAAACACTACACTACTGCACACACAAACACTGCACTACTGCACACACAAACACTGCAATATGCACACAAACACTGCACTACTGCACACACAAACACTGCAATATGCACACACAAACACTACACTACTGCACACACAAACACTGCAATATGCACACAAACACTGCACTACTGCACACACAAACACTGCACTACTGCACACACAAACACTGCAATATGCACACACAAACACTGCACTACTGCACACACAAACACTGCACTACTGCACACACAAACACTGCAATATGCACACAAACACTGCACACAAACACTGCACTACTGCACACACAAACACTGCAATATGCACACAAACACTGCACTACTGCACACACAAACACTGCACTACTGCACACACAAACACTGCAATATGCACACAAACACTGCACTACTGCACACACAAACACTGCACTACTGCACACACAAACACTGCAATATGCACACACAAACACTACACACAAACACTGCACTACTGCACACACAAACACTGCACTACTGCACACACAAACACTGCAATATGCACACACAAACACTGCACTACTGCACACACAAACACTGCACTACTGCACACACAAACACTGCAATATGCACACACAAACACTGCACTACTGCACACACAAACACTGCACTACTGCACACACAAACACTGCACTACTGCACACACAAACACTGCACTACTGCACACACAAACACTGCAATATGCACACACAAACACTGCACTACTGCACACACAAACACTGCACTACTGCACACACAAACACTGCAATATGCACACAAACACTGCACTACTGCACACACAAACACTGCACTACTGCACACACAAACACTGCAATATGCACACACAAACACTACACACAAACACTGCACTACTGCACACACAAACACTGCACTACTGCACACACAAACACTGCAATATGCACACACAAACACTGCACTACTGCACACACAAACACTGCACTACTGCACACACAAACACTGCAATATGCACACACAAACACTGCACTACTGCACACACAAACACTGCACTACTGCACACACAAACACTGCAATATGCACACAAACACTGCACTACTGCACACACAAACACTGCACTACTGCACACACAAACACTGCAATATGCACACACAAACACTACACACAAACACTGCACTACTGCACACACAAACACTGCACTACTGCACACACAAACACTGCAATATGCAAACACTACACACAAACACTGCACTAATACACACAACACTGAAAAACTACAGATTCATAGTTTAACAGTTTAAAAACTGTATGACTATGGAAATCATACGCAATCACTCTTGATATCACTTGATATCAGAATTATTTATTATTTTGGTCTAGTAAAAAGACTTTAAGAGAGTGAATCATCATAGCAGTGTGTAGAGTCGTGATCCGCCGTCCTCTGTGTGTTTTAGCCACTATCACAGCATGAACGAGTTCTGCCATTACGATCTGCTGGACTCCAGAACTCAACAGAGAGTGGCTGAAGGCCATAAAGCCAGTTTCTGTCTGGAGGACACGTCCTGCGACCCGGGATACCACCGGCGCTACGCCTGCACGTCCCACACACAGGTCATTACTTCAGTTCAAGTCCTCTTTCATCAATTCATCAAGTTTCTGTAGCGCTTTCACAGATTAGATTGTGTCAAAGCAGCTTAACAGATGAAGTTTTCACAGTTTTCAGAGTTCAGCTCAGTTCAGTGTCATGTAAATGTGACTGCTGAAAGCCCAAACACTGAAGAGCAAATCCAGCCATGCACAAAACTACAGCACAACAATGCAAACGGCAGCCCTAATCACAGAGGACACCGAGATGATGAGCTGTAATCTACTGTGTGTGTGTGTGTGTGTGTGTGTGTGTGTGTGTGTGTGTGTGTGTGTGTGTGTGTGTATGTGTGTGTGTGTGTGTGTGTGTGTGTGTGTGTGTGTGTGTGTGTGTGTGTGTGTGTGTGTGTGTGTATGTGTGTGTGTGTGTGTGTGTGTGTGTGTGTGTGTGTGTGTGTGTGTGTGTGTGTGTGTGTGTGTGTGTGTGTGTGTGTGTGTGCCACAGGGTTTGAGTCCTGGTTGTTACGACACGTACAGCGCTGACATCGACTGTCAGTGGATCGACATCACGGACGTCCAGCCTGGAAGATACATACTGAAGGTTACAATAAACATTCTGCTTATAAATAACAGTCCATCTCTGAACACACATCACATGACGAGAACTGTAGCTATTAAAAGGGAGCTAATATGCAAAAATAACGTTTATAAGGGGTTTAAACACAGTTGTGTGTCAGCAGTGTGTGAATACATCCAGCCTCTAATGGTAAACAATAATAAATACTAGCATTTTTTTATTATTATTAAAATCTGCCATAGTAAACAACAACAAAACTTTCTGAAGAGGAAAAAATATTAATATTAAATGAATAATATATTAATAATAAATAGGAATTACTGTTGAAATTTCTGCACTCTGTTAAACTTCCCTTGCTAATTATTGTAAATCTACATGTACTTCTTCTGCTCTTTATATGATTCCAGGTGACAGTGAATCCAGGTTTCCAGGTGTCGGAGTCAGACTTCAGTAATAATATTGTCCGCTGTGATGTTCATTATACTGGAAACTACGCGCATGTGTCCGGCTGCACCGTGAGTCCGTAAGTGCTGCGCTTCATTGATCCTACAGGACCTGAGAGAAACACTCTCATGTGTCAGAATATGCTGAGCGTGTCCAATGTTTCTCTTCACAGACACTAGCAGCAGAGACATCCTCGACATCCCTGATCATCTGTTCACCAGGAGAAATAACGTCCATTTCTGAATACCTGTGAAAACAATACTGCAGCGTTGTTATTATTATTATGACAGAGGTACGAGCTCTCGGGATTCACAAATAAACTGCAAAACACTCATTTTCCTTAAATAAATAACCTAAATATCTGACCATTTACCTTTGATCGTTTACTTGAGCATCCAAATGGTCAACTTTACTGAATACTTAACTTGTTTAAAGGAAATTATGTGTAAAACAAGAGCAGATATCTGCCTGTAAGGTCAGAAAAGCAGCATGCTTTCATTTTGAGTTAATTTTAATTAGTGTATAATTTACACTGACCGGCCACTTTATTAGGTACACCTCACTAGTACCAGGATGGACCTCCTTTTGTCTTCAGAACTGTCTTAATCCTTCATGTAAGAGATACAGCAAGCTACTGGAAATATTCCTCAGAGATTTTGCTCCATGTTGTCATGATAGCATCACACAGTTGCTGCAGATTTGTCGGCTGCACATCCATGATGCCAATCTCCCATTCCACCGCATCCCAAAGCTGCTCTATTGGATTGAGCTCTGGTGACTGTGGAGGCCATTTGAGTACAGTGAACTCATCGTCATGTTCAAGAAAGCAGTCTGAGCATTATCTTAGTGTAAAATAATGTGTCAGGTGTAGTAATCCTTATTATTTTGTAAGAGTCATCATAATTATATCTATATTAATGATGTTATTTTACGTTTAGTTAATTATTGATGTAAACATGAGGATCATGGTGCTTTAGTATGTGTGCATGAAGGTTGTGTTCAGGTTATTCTTTGATAATATCTTTGTATTTTCAGACATTGTTATAATTTCCGCCTCTTAAAGGTGCTATTGACATTAACGTCACTTTAGTTTAGGAGGGAAAACTTAACTTGAATAAAAGCAATGAGAATATGTTTTTTAATTCTCATCTGTGTTCTTATTACTTTAAGATTAATTTGAGTGTGTGTGTGTGTGTGTGTGTGTGTGTGTGTGTGTGTGTGTGTGTGTGTGTGTGTGTGTGTTTGTGTGTGTCTGTGTGTTCGGTAAAGCTGCTGTGGTCACATTAGACATGATCAAGCCAAATTTCAGCAAAAAAAAAATGATGACTGCATTTTTGTGAAGTTTATTGATAAACTAATTTGAAGAGGATCACGTGCTCATGATTGTTCACAGCTGTTCCAGCATTATCTCATAACCACTTATCCAATCAGACGATCCTTAACTTACAGAGTTTTCTCATCTCAATATCCTGGTCTTGAAGAAACCCCCCCGCCCAACCCTACTTTCCCTCCTTTCAACCGGGCGGCACGGTGGTCAGTGATTAGCGCTGTTGCCTCACTGTAAGAATACCCCTGCTTTAATTCCCTTCCAAACCAGGCGACATTTCTCTGCGGAGTTTTTCTCGTTTTTCTCTCTCGAGTGGGTTTTCCCCGGGTCCTCTGCTTTCCTCCCACCGTTCAAAAACAAACACCCTAAACAATTAATCCAAAATATTTCAGCCAAACTCTGAGTACCTCTTCTCAGCATCCATAACTGACACTTAGCTACAATAAGCAGGAGGGGGAGCCATCGAGATCTACCTGAGCTCAAACTCCCCTCTCTCTCTGCAACGGGAGGGAGCCCAGGGCTCGAGGATCTTATGAGCTCAGGGCTCTCTCCCGGGACAGCATGATGAACACGCTTTATATTCAATCATCAGCTGAGGGTGAACTGTAGAAAGTGTGTGTGTGTGTGTGTGTGTGTGTGCGCACGCGTGCGCGTGCGCGCGCCGGTTATGGTTAATATTGTTAATATTTATATGGTTCCATATTTCTCAACCGTTTTATCTAAAAGTAAGCAAAATGTAACACCCTCCTTTGTGCAATCCTAATATTCTAATTTAAAAATGAGTATAAAATGTAGTAATTAATAATTTTAGCAATTCTAAAACTTAAAAAGATTTTCTGTTAACATCTATTAGCTTTATTTTTTTTCAACAGAAATTTGCTAGGTGTAGCGTTTATGATGAGTGTAAGATATTCCCTGTGCAGATATCACTGTTGTTAGTTGGTAACATTACATGTCATTTCTTATTTATCGTGACGCTCCTGATGATGAAACATTTGTGAAATTATGCAAAATACCAGATTGCATGGACGTAAATTAAAAAGGTAATGATTTTCACCAACACAACATTTTGTGACAGAACTGAGCTGAACGTAACACATCCTCTATTTGGCAATTGTACTTATTTGTAGAATAAATGTAGTGTTTGCAGCTGAGATTCACGGGTAAAAGTTTTCCACTCATGTTAGTCACGTGAGCACAGCGCGGGACTTTTCCATCATGAGTGACTCTGCTCACCTGTACTGTAGTTTACACACCTGCACAGGCCTGGGAAACCAGCCTTATGGTATTAGAGCTAATTCAGGTGTCCATCGTTTAAATACAACTAACGTAAGGTAACCAGCAAACACTGGCCTACTATTATTGAACAGCTAGATAAGGAACACTACAGGTCAGGTGAGTCTGCGGAGTGTTCTCATGACGTTGGCACATTCACACAATCACCTTAATCAACGTTTCAGAAAAGTATTTGCAAATTCTGAATAATGGAATTATAGTAGCAGCCAATGTGTACAAATTACAACATCGTTCAGTCAAAAATGGTGCTAGTGTTGTTCTTCAGCATTAACAGCATTTTAGAGACACATTCAGACACACAAATTGAGGAAAACCTGAAAAATAAACTATTGTAAAAGTACGTAGAGTTTGTTTTACATAACGTTAATACAACAGTAATGTATAGCAAATGCTGTCGTGTTTTTGAACCATACTATAGTAAAGTACTTGAGTCGATCTGTTGTGACGATTCCAGAGACGATACAACTATAGTAATTGATCTGTTGTGGTGATTCTACAGTTGCTATGGTAACACAACAATCATAGTTTTGATCTGTTGTGGTGATTCTAAAGTTGCTATGGTAACACAACAACTATAGCAATTGATATGTTGTGGCTATTCCACAGTTGCTATGGTAACACAACAACTACAGTAATTGATCTGTTGTGGTGATTCCACAGTTGCTATGGTAACACAACAACTACAGTTATTGATCTGTTGTGGTGATTCTACAGTTGCTATGGTAACACAACAACTACAGTAATTGATCTGTTGTGGTGATTCTACAGTTGCTATGGTAACACAACAACTACAGTAATTGATCTGTTGTGGTAATTCTACAGTTGCTATGGTAACACAACAACTACAGTAATTGATCTGTTGTGGTGATTCTACAGTTGCTATGGTAACACAACAACTACAGTAATTGATCTGTTGTGGTGATTCCACAGTTGCTATGGTAACACAACAACTACAGTAATTGATCTGTTGTGGTGATTCTACAGTTGCTATGGTAACACAACAACTACAGCAATTGATCTGTTGTGGTGATTCTACAGTTGCTATGGTAACAAAACAACTACAGTAATTGATCTGTTGTGGTGATTCTACAGTTGCTATGGTAACACAACAACTACAGTAATTGATCTGTTGTGGTGATTTTACAGTTGCTATGGTAACACAACAACTACAGCAATTGATCTGTTGTGGTGATTCTACAGTTGCTATGGTAACAAAGCAACTACAGTAATTGATCTGTTGTGGTGATTCTACAGTTGCTATGGTAACACAATAGCTATAGCAATTGATCTGTTGTGTTGATTCTACAGTTGCTATGGTAACACAACAGCTATAGCAATTGATCTGTTGTGGTGATTCTGCAGTTGCTATGGTAACAAAACAACTACAGTAATTGATCTGTTGTGGTGATTCTACTGTTGCTATGGTAACACAATAGCTATAGCAATTGATCTGTTGTGTTGATTCTACAGTTGCTATGGTAACACAACAGCTATAGCAATTGATCTGTTGTGGTGATTCTGCAGTTGCTATGGTAGCACAACAACTACAGTAATTGATCTGTTGTGGTGATTCTACTGTTGCTATGGTAACACAACAACTATAGTAATATAAACAAATAGCCCAATATTGTAGTTTGTTTTTTTTACAATTATTGTGTGTATTAGGCTATAATACAGTCCACCTCAGCTTACTGTAGTAAAACTAAAGCATACTGCAGTATTTATTGCAGTTATTAGTTCACTATAGGTATTACAGTATACTGGAACATTCATTGCCAAAGGGAGCTGTACAAACTATAATATACAGTGTATAATACATTTCACTACAGTATGTTCAAAACACTAGTATTTATTACAAATGACTTTAGTATATTTTGTTAGTTTTTGGTTATTAGAAAATTAGAAAAGAGTCTTTGTAATGTATTCTCCTCAGCTGTGTGGTCGTGTGTATGAGTGCGCGCGTTTTGTGTATGTATTTTGTGTGTGCTTGTCTCCCTCTGCTGGCATGTGTGTGTAAGTGCGCGCGGCCTTTTCTCTGCGTGTGCACGTGGCCCTTTTGGGGTCGCGCGCGCTGAGGAGGCTGAAGGAGGCGCGCGCTCGTGTCACATTCTTCAGATGATCCGCTAATCAGCAGAAACACACACACACACACAGTCGGCGACAGACAGCAGTGGACACAAGGTACGACACACACACATTCACATACATTTACATGCACTCTCACACACGCACACCCGAATCAGCCGAGAGAAACAACGAGAGGATGGAGATCATCTGAGGGATGCTAAGGCTAAAGCTAATGCTAGAAACAAAAGGCAGAAACAGAACACACACACACACTTAAACAGAGAGAGATGGGACACACACACACACAGATGAGCAAACAAGACAGCCCCACCATCTTCAACATCCTCATCATCATCATCATCATTATTCTGTCTTGAATATTCATCAGTGTGTTTAATCATCAGTTATATCTGTGTGTGTGTGTGTGTGTGTGTGTGTGTGTGTGAGAGAGAGAGAGAGAGAGAGAGAGAGAGAGAGAAAATATGTATACTTGTCATATTTCTGCTTTTATTGTATTGGATTGATCAGTTTTTCTGAAGAATAAAGTTTTCATCAGTTATAAATCACTCAACCAACTCACCCACCAACCGCTAGTTAATGTTAATCAGTGCTTAAAATCAAATTAAAGTGAAAATATTATGCCACAAACACAGTACAATATGCAGTAAAATGATTATACAACCGCCTCTGACCTTACAAAAACTAAAATATCAGTAATAATCTAAATTATGGAGTACAATAAGAAGTAAAAACATATTTTAATTGTAGAAATATAAGTTACAGCTATAGAAGATGCGTACAAATATAAAACATTTAAAGCTTTATTCCGTTCAATTAATCTTCATTTCTCGAGCGCTTCTAACCAGTTCTCTCAAACCAACGCTGTAGGTTTGCACTTGACATTGATATATATATATATATATATATATATATATATATATATATATATATATATATATATATATATATTAGGGATGTAACGGTATTGTAAATACCGTCATACCGCAATATTAATTTTTTTCGATATTACCGAAGTCGCATGACTCGGTAAAACTATAGGTCTTCTGAGAAAATTTGCTCAGGCGAATGAAGCGAACAGGAGGTAGCGAAAACTACAATTGCCATCAGCCCATGCTTGACCATCATCCTTTGCGGTCTGTTGTCGCTACAGATCCAGTAATGCGGAAATGGAGTGTGCTGCTAGAAGCGGGGATGAAAAAGAGCTGGAAAACCCTAAAGCGGGTGTTGTCGCCGCGCGCGTACTGAATAGCGGTGTTGTCGCGCGCGTTCTAATCAGCTGTGTTGTCGCGCGCGTACTGAATAGCGGTGTTGTCGCACGAGTTCATATCAGCTGTGTTGTCGCGCGTGTACTGTAAAGCGGGGACGGGGGGTATGTCGCGTCGCGGGGGCACTTTTGATCATTTTGGAAGGGAACTTTCTATCCAAGACTAAAAAGGGCATGTGCACTGCACAGGTTGAGCCCTATGTGTGCACGTGCCTGCAAGTTGGGGAATACGACTAAAAATCAGTCATGGAGACTGCAGAAACACAGCACACTGTTCAGATTGATGCAGACATGAGATCTCTATCTCACTCATGGTTTATCCTCTCAAGTGGGGGAAAGACAATGCACAACGTTACCCACTGCTGTCAACCTGGGCCAAGTCATATCTCTCTTGTCCCAGAAACCTCAGTCCCAAATGAGAGGGTTTTTTCTGTTGCAGGGGACATTGTAAATACCCAGAGATACCAGCTTTTACCAGATTATATTTATATGATAATTTTTCTTAAAACCCATCTCTATCTGAGTGAGTGTGTGATTAAATGTTGAATGTGATGAGTTTTCAACAATACTAAATTGAAACTTTATTTTTTTTACATGGTTTAATATTTTTTTGTTATTAAAATTGAAGTTAGTGTTTCAAAGCTTACAGATAGATGGCTAATTTGTATGTCATTGACACTTTTGGCACTTTTTTGGAGTATTTTCATAAGTTTTGTTTTTTCCTGTAAATGATTCAACAAATACCGTACCGTGACATTCATACCGAGGTATTACCGTACCGTGAAATTCTGATACCGTTACATCCCTAATATATATATATACATGTGTATATATATATATATATATATATATATATATATATATATATATATATATATATATATATATATATATATAAAATTTATATATATAATTTATACAACAGTTCTGTCTAGTTCCCGTACAGCCTCTTTACCCTTTGTGTATTACTCCGCCTACATACAGCCAGCAGAAAGCAGACACTACAGATCTAAAGTGTAAAAGATGCACGCTCAGCTGTTTAACTGTCAGATTATGATTTGAATCCAATGTGGAAGAATGTAGTTCCTCATACAAAAGGGTTTTTAAGACTCTCCATGTTTGATTTTGTTTTTATATACACGATTATGGCGTCAAACGGTTGTATAAACGCAATATCACACGTAGCAGGCCTCCCACCAGTGCCGATATACAGCCATATCGCACTGTTACGAGTGTGTTATTGCTCATATATATATATATATATATATATATATATATATATATATATATATATATATATATATATGTTTTTTATATTTATTATTATTATTATTATTATTTCATTAATTTATTATATTATTATTTAATCCTCTCTTCATACAATTTATTAGGTTAAATGAACTAGTCAGGCCTGTAGCCAAGGGGGTTTCGGGTTGGATTATTATTATTTTGGTACCCTTTCTCCTGTTTGGTACCCTTTCGAAAGGATGCAGAAAAAGTGATACTGTACAGTTTGGTTCAGTCACTTTTTGACAGTAGAAACGGGCCATAACCGAGCGTGTGTGCTTATTCAGCAACAGTTCTCCAGTACCGATAGCAGAACCGGTAATGTCAGAGCGTATTGATACTTCGGTCTTTCATAATAAAAATCACTGAGACGGATAAAGTGCATAGTTTCGGTACCCATGCCTAATGCTGAAGTCAGATATTCTGCTTTGAAAATGTGCATTACCTCCCAGAACGTCTCTTTAACCCGCCCAATGCCAGTTTAGCCAATTATATTTCAGCACCCCGGCTTGCCAGATTGTGGAAAACAGCGTATTTCATTCATTCAGTCAGTCAGGAAGACTCTCAAAGCATGTGTCAGTGACTGAAATGTGACCTCTGGTGGACAGTAGCAGACTCTGAAATGAGACGCAGATTCAGAGTTCCACATGAGGTTATTAATTACCAAATAATATAAATATTACAAGTGTAAACGTTAGGTGAGCAGGTCACATTGTAACCTCGTGTCTTATCAACACGCTACACGACGAGATGCACCGTGATGAGCAGTTTGCACTCATTCATGAGCACAGAATAGTGCACTCACTGCACTCCAGCACAATGGTCAGGTTTATAATCTAATGAGCACATATTAAAGCTCTTTAACATGATTAAATGTAGATGCTGAATCACTGATATGTGTTGGTTTGCACTGAGTCTCAGTTCTGAAGATCAGTTTCAGATGCTTTATTCTATTCTCCAGATCTGAGCTGAACTATCTGCTGCGGGTTTCAGTATATGGCAATAAATGTCATGTCGAATATCATTTAAACTCACATTATTAGCATTTAACACTGAATAAAGCAGGTTTCAGAATAGCGGATCTGAGTTAGGTCAATCAACTTTGAGTAGACCAACTCCGAGTTAAGCGTGCACACTGCAACTATAAAAAGGCATTATCAATGGAGCACAGATATTACGAGTGATCATGGCAACATCTTCAAAAAAGAGATCAGCATTTCTTTCTCCGGCTGAACTTGATGTGATCATGCAAAGTTACAGCAAATATGAGCGTATACAGTATATTTAAAAAATATTTAAAAGCAACCATCAGTGAAACAGAGACAGTTAATGCATAGTTTTACATTTAAAGTATTTAAACATTAAAGTAAATTAAAATAAGTAATGTAATGTGTGACGTTTATACATTTTTCTAAACTTTTATACACGTTGATCAGTTTTAATAGATTTAACAGGGCACTTGTGTGTCTGCATTTTTTATTGATCAAGTGATAGAGGTTTATTTAACATTTAGAAGGTAAGCAGAGCTAAAAATACTCTTTAGAAAGAATAATAATCCCATTAATCTACAACAGTACACGTCGAAGGTCAATGAATTCAAGCTAATTATTTATTAAAAAAGACAAGCCATTCTCGTACGTGACTTTGTTCTGTGTGTGACTAAAATGTAGGAAATATCTTTGTTTCCAGCCAAATAAATTACATTAATTTATGTGCAAAACTGGAATAAAAGATGAAAAATAAAGCAGCGTTTCCATCCAACGAGTCAAAAAAAACCTCACTTCCTGATTAAACGGGCACCAAATATCAACAGTAAAAACAGAATTTACTGAGGAAGAAGAAGCTGCGTCAATTATTTCTTTATTTAATAAATGTACTCCCGCCTCAGAAGACAATGCTGACATACAATGAACACGTGGGGGCGTTTGAAGCCATGAGACGCGGAGATCTTGACACGCTCCAGACGCTCGGAGGTAATTAATAATATACACTAATACGCAAACAGTTGAGGCATTTTAGAATGACTAATTCAACATTTCAGACGTGTTACAGTGTGCTCAGCCTGCTGGTTTGTCCATTCACACACATTTCCATCATCATTTGATGACCTTTTTTATGCACATACTGTAATTTGTTCAGTAAAAGTGTTTCCGTCGTAGTTTATGCGCATATTTTCTAGCGAATAAAAGTTTATCCTGCTCAGTTATGTGCGTTTTTTATGCATATTTTTAAAAGTTATGTGCATCTTGACGTTTCCATCAATCGTTTTTATGCATGTATCCAATATGAGCAATAAAATAGGTGTGTGGAAACGTAAGGCTAAGGCCAGAAATACCACTTCATCTTATAAAAAGGTGAGGAGACCGACAGAAACTCTGAGTTTAGAGAATAAAACCTGCTCCTGACCAGGTTAGGTTCACATTGTAAGTTACCACAGTAACTGACTCTGAGTTAAAGTGACCTCTCTTTCAGAAACAGGCTTGACTTACCCTGCTTTCTCCAGCTTGACAAACCTGCCACTCTGAAACGGAAAACCCAGAGTTTCTCTCATTTCAGGGTTAAAATACTCGGAGTTTTCACTTAACCTCCTTTCTAAAACAGGCCCCTGGAATCCAGCTTAAGACCTTTGGTGTAGATTGTGTGTCAGCAGCTGAACACAGAAGATTATAGTAAACTCAAACAGTGTTCAGAGTTAAAGTTCAGTGTGGTTTAATCCTCACTGCTGAGAGTCCAAACGGAAGATCAAATCCATCCATGCGCAGCTCCACAAGACCCAAACCAAGCAGGACAGTGGAGGAACACACTTCACCAACTGACCAAAGTGAAGGAGAGAAACTTTGAGAGAAACCAGGCTCAGTTGGGCACGACCATTTCTCCTCTGGCCAGACTTCTTGTGCAGAGCTGCAGTCTAGGCGCCGGAGGCTGGAGAGCGCTGGACATCCATCGTGGAGAAGCTGCAGGTGGGAGAGGTCACCGGCTAGTGTTCAGGCCGGCCCTTCAGGATCAATGCGGACACTCGTCTGTCACTGAGGTCTTTCAGGAATCAGTGTCATGCTCTCCACTCCTCCATGACCACCACAGCAGCAGCTCAGGATACGGCCTGGTCCAGGATTATGGAGACCTCTAGAAGTGCTCTGTGGTTGGCATCATCCCTTGATGAAGATGAACTTTAAATCTGAAGCATATAGCTGTAGCAAAATATACTAAATTTACTCTATACCAACATCATGTTTTTATTTCAATAAGTTTATATAGTCTTTTGTAACCACGCCCACTTTCACGTCCACTGTCCAATCCGATGTGGGTTGAGCTGAAGCCCCGCCGCATGGCTCAGAATGATGTCACACTGATGCAGCAGTTGCAGTTTGTGTAATGATAAAGTGTGGATCAGTTATTGATTGTCGATTGGTAATAATCTGGTGTTTTTCAGCATGCTGACTGAAGATGGACGTTCCTGAATATCTGGATCTGGATGAGATTGACTTCACTGATGATTTACCTGTGAGTACTTATGAAATATGCAGATTATATTTAAAAATGGCAGATGCACAGTTGAGTAGATTTGCATCCCATAATCCAAATCATGTTCATTATACTGTAACTGCTAATTATTATTATCAGGTTATTATTATTATTATTATAAAGCAGATTTCATGTACTCGTGGTTATTTACATGGTCAGCGATTATTTACTATTTTCCATCAGCAGCTGTTTTAAAAATCGAAAATACTTTAATGCTTTTAGTCACATCATTATATTTACATATTCATGATTATCTGTTAAAGCTCAACAAAAACATATATTTAATATTTAATATTTGGGTTTGTGTTTTTGCTTTGATTTTGCTTATTTCATATTGGATTGAATACATATTAGGATGTTTTATTTATCGTAAATTTAGAGTTTTCATTTTTAGTATGAATTTTATTTTGATTATTTCAAGCTATTATTGTTTACTATTATATAATTAAAGTTTTATCAATAAATTATTAGCTTTCCGTCAATCCCTGAAACCCTGATCTAGATAAACTGCTTTGTTTGACTTGTTAAAGTGTACTGTAAATGTTTACATGTGCAGTGCTGAAGTTAAACTGATAGCAGTGTTGACTAATGTGTGTGTGTGTGTGTGTGTGTGTGTGTGTGTGTTGTACAGTACTCATCTAAGAGCATTCCTGAACTGTGCCGGAGACATGATGGACAGAACGACGAGAGACAAGGTACTGCGCTCATTCACACACGTGTTTTTAGTTTCACCAGCAGATGGCGCTCTGCTTTACAGACAGCCCTATTAAAGGGCCATGAAACCCCCTTGTTTCAGCAGGGTGTTTTGAAATTAAACTTTTAAATTATTGCTTTTAAATTATTAAATGTTATTTAAATTATTAAATGTTATTAAACTTTAACTGCAGTTTGGCTCTTTCATTCAGGGAATTCATTCATGCCCCTCGCCTCAAACGAGATATTTGATTCGAGGATCTGCTCTAAGCATGTATTTTCATGCAATGTTTGATACCGCACGGCGAATGAGAGAAAAAAAACTCAGCATTTCCCGGAAACTTAGATGCACACGACAGGTAGTGTCAGAAAGCCGCGTGTGTTATTCCGGTCACTAAATCCTACATGAGGTTATAGTTTGGTTGTAAAGCTAACTTGTTTACACTCTGTGCAATAGTTAACTTAGTTCGATACGAATAAAATACGAAATGAATAAACAAAGAGCATTGGTCACTCACTTACCAAATCTGTAGAGACAGGACAATCACCAGCAACTAGAGCTGTGTCTTTATTAAGAGGAGACGAGCAGCGAATCTGGATCTCAGCGTTTGCAGATGAGAACAGCTCTTAGGTAAACAATAATCCTCCTTATACACGCAAGTTATTGTTGTCGAGCGTCGCGTACACTGTTAATCCACACGTGACTCCAGCTGCGCTCTCACAGAGAGAAAATGAAAACAAAACTTCACTGCAGCAAACTATAAAAGCAACACTTCACGCTTGTTTTGCCAACACAACGTGGCGTCTCTGCCGTCTAAACACTGTGACAGTAATGAATATTAATGAAGTTGCACAATAGAGCGCTCTGATTGGTTTAAACCGAGCTTTACTCATGCATTAATGCAGCACACTGTAAGACGTAATAAGACACACTCTGGCACAGACGTCCAGTCTGCACGCTGGAATACACGCTATTATCTCATGACCGTGACGCAGCTTCAAAAATTCGTTTCAAACAGGAAGTACGAATTTGCTTAAAATAACGCAAAAACATCCCATTTACACTTTTTAGTGAAATATAGGTGTCCTAATAGTGTTTTTAGCAGTGTGGGACACATATACCACTGTCCACAGCTTAAACACATGTGTTTTGGTGTTTCGTGACCCTTTAAAAACTAGCCTAGAGCGCTATCTGCTGTTTAAAACTAGCTTACAGCACTATTAAAAACTAGCCTTGCGCTTCATCTGCTGCCCCCTATCTTCTGAGGTGGTAATAAATATATAAATGTTGCGCACACGGCAATAGGCCTATATAAATATGAGCGTAATGACAACACAAATAAGTGCAACACAGTCTAACAACCATATAATTTTATGGTCATTTATTAATTTTATTTATTATTAACTTCACCTAAGGAGACTAGTGGGTAGAGGTCTGCATTCTTCTCTGCTAGTGACTAGAGGTACAGCAGCTGCAAGTCGGCAGCTGTCCCATATAAGACTCTGGACAGTGTTCGTGTTTCTACTGTGCCACAGAGCGCCATATGTTACATATTAAGGCTGATTTATACTTCTGCGTCAAACACCGGCGTATGCTACGGCGCTGACGCATAGCCCATCGCCGTGGCCGTCGCCGTCACTGACGTGCACCTCTCAAAAATTGTAACTACACGTCGCAACAACGCGTAGCGCAAGCTCTGTGATTGGTCGGCTTGCTAGCGCCGACGAGTCTGGGCGGGACCGAGAGCCGCGCGAATGGCGCGAGCGATTGTTTACAAGTGTGGAGTCCCGTGAAGGAGCTCCGGATGGAAAGTTTTGTTCTTTGTTTACCTCATGGTTAAAGTTGTTGCACGTCCGCCGGTTCCTGCCTCAAAATGAGCGAGTTTGAGTCACTTGTACATCCAGGAAGTGTTCAGAATAGCAAAACAGAAGCGAAGAAACTCGACACAGAGGAACATTTACACCTCACTGCCAACTAGCGTTTCGGAAGTGTTAATGCAGACCAACGGAGACAGCGCGCAGAAGTATAAATGCCCAGCCACGCGCGTTGCCTGCGCCGTGAGTTGCGCCGGTCACTTGACGCAGAAGTATAAACCAGGCTTTAGATAACATGTGAATGTGCACACGGGAGCCGGACTGAAAAATCAGCCCCGTGCAGACCTCTGCTAGTGGGAACAATGTTTTCAGCACACGTCTGTTCTTGGTTTATTTTAAAGACCGCCACTCGATGATCATCCTCAATGTTCAGTTGTGGCCTGTATTTATTTGTATGTATTTGATTTGCCATCAAGCTGTCAGAAAGTTTAACCTGCTGCTATAAAATCAACATGCTGCAGCTGACGCTATTGCTGAGTTATTAATCTGACGTGTAAACACTAATCCTATGAAATGTACAGGCTGATGGCTTTTTATTTGCGTGTTGTTGTTTTTTTATATGTAACTATTAACAACTGTTGTTATCTTCTGTTTGTTTTGGATAAAATATAGTCATTCGAATAGTTTCATAAAATTTATTTGACTTTTGGAAATCCCCAAGCAACCCGCTGTCGTTGTGTCGTGACCCTCACTTTGGTAATCACTGGCCTAGAGTGCCTTCTGCTGTTAAAAACTAGCCAAGAAAGCCCTCTAATCCATTCTTGATTTTCTCTGTTCTGTGTGTTTTCAGCTCTGGCCATTAACTGGCCTCGTAGTGCGGCGTCTCACAGCGGTGCAGGACTCAAACCCACCGGTATCGCAGACGTCTACAGTAAATTCCGTCCTGTTAAACGCGTCTCTCCACTCAAACACCAGCCGGAGGAGACGCAGACACAGACGGAGACTGAAGGGAAGAGCTCAGAGACGGACACACCAAGCGGGAAAGAGGAGCCCAGCAAGAGCAGAGGCCTCATCAACCAGGGTCAGCAGTCAGCTTTATTTCAATATTATTATTATTATTATTTAGATAATAATCATATAAATAATAATGACAATATAATACTACTACTAATAATAATAATATAAATAATATTGAATTATGACAATATAATAATAATAATAATAATAAAATAAAATAATAATATTAAGTTATGACAATATAATAATAATAATATGAATAATATTATTTATGGCATGACAATATAATAATAATAATAATAATAATAATAATAATAATAATAAAATAATATTATTAATGGTATGACAATATAATAATAATATAATAATAATATTTATGTAATGACAATATAATAATAATAATAATAATAATAATAATATAAATAATATTGAGTTATGACAATATAATAATAATAATAATATTAAAATAATAATATTAAGTTTTGACAATATAATAATAATATTATTATTTATGTAATGACAATATAATAATAATAATATAAATAATATTAAGTTATGACAATATAATAATAATAATAATAATAAAAATAATAATATAAATAATATTATTTATGGTATGACAATATAATAATAATAATAATATTAATGGTATGACAATATAATAATAATAATATAATAATAATATTTATGTAATGATAATATTATAATAATAATAATAATAATACAAATAATATTATTTGAGTTATGACAATATAATAATATAAATAATATTATTTATGGAATGACAATATAATAATAATATTATTTAACTTATGACAAAATAATAATAATTATACTACTAATAATAATATAATAATAATATTTTTGTAATGACAATATAATAATAGTAATAATAATAATAATAAAATAATAATTTTAAGTTATGACAATGTAATAATAATAATATAAATAATATTATTTAAGTTATGACAATATAATAATTATAATAATAATAATATAAATAATATTATTCATGGAATGACAATATAATAATATAAATAATATTATTTAAGTTATGAAAATATAATAATAATAATAGTATTATTATTTAAGTTATGACAATATAATAATAATATAAAGAATAATATTATTTATGTTATGACAATATAATAATAATAATATAAATAATAAAATTATTTGTTATAACAATATATTAATAATATAATATTATTAACCATATTATTATTTTGTTATAATATAAATATTATTATAATTTATATTGTTATTGTAATAAATAATAATAAGTAACATATTATTTTTCTTCAGTTGATGATAAAGTTTGACCAATAGTCAGTTGTTTTTACGTCTTCTGAACTCTCCCTGTGGTGAACGCAGCCCTGTTTGGGGAACTAGAGCACTACGACCTGGACATGGACGAGATCCTGGACGTGCCCTACATCAAGTGCACTCAGCAGGCGGCGACGCTGCCTCGAGCGCCCTCTGCAGGGAACACACACACACTGGTGCACTCTGAGAGCCTGAGCAGCGGGACGCAGTTCTGTGTGCTGTCGCCCGTCATGAGGAAGTCGAAATCTGCAGATCTCCGAGCGCAGAGTCTCGGGTTCGAGAACACACACGAGCAGATCCCGGACAGCAAAACCGGCGCTGACGGCGGACACGCATCCAGAAAACAAGCCAGAGGAGCGTCTCGAGAAGTGGACGAGGAGGCCAAGAAGAGCCAAAACATCCTGAATATCGTGAGAGATGGACAGATCTCTCTGCTGGTGAGAGATTTCACTGATGAAACAGGCTTTTCTGAGAGGATTTGAGTTGTTTCTTGTCCAAATATCTCACAGTTTGACAAATAATCATGTGGTTTTGTTTTCAGAACTAGTAAGTCTGCATTAAAGGGGAGATGTTATACGAATACTAGATAGTAAAGTTTGAGGACAAACTTTATGGTGGCTTAGGGAAGCAGTTTATTCAGTTTGAAAAAGTTTCAAGTTGCCTAAAAGAATGTTTAAGATCCCTGCAGTCAACAATGCAACCACTTAAAGACTGAAGCAAGCCAGTGAAAAGATTTAAAGTTGATTACTGTGTCTGACGGTGGTAATAGCATGAGTTAGCATGATTCTAGCATGAATTAGCATGATTCTAAGTAATTAGCATGTTATTAGCATATTTCTAAAATAAATTAGCATGCTGCTAGCATGTTTCTAGGATGAATTAGCGTGTTATTAGCATGATTTTAGCATGAATTGGCATGTTGTTAGCAAGATTTTAGCTTGAATTAGCATGTTAACATGATTCCACCATGAATTACCATGTTGTTAGCATGATTTTAGCATGAATTGGCATGTTGTTAGCAAGATTTTAGCATGAATTAGCATGTTAACATGATTCCACCATGAATTAGCATGTTGTTAGCATGATTTTAGCATGTTGTTAACATGATTCCAACATGAATTAGTATGTTGTTAGCACGATTCTAGCACAAATTAGCATGTTCTTAACATGATTCTAGAATGAATTTGCATGTTGTTAGCATGATTTTAGCATGAATTAGCATGTTGTTAACATAATTCCAACATGAATTAAAGTGTTGTTAGCATGATTCCAACATAAATTAGCATGTTGTAAGCTTGATTTTAGCATGAATTGGCATGTTTCTAGCATGAATTAGCATATTGTTAGCATGTTTTTAGCATGAATTAGTGTAACGGAGGCCAGCTAGTGAGTGCTGTGCAGGTAAACCTCACTCCTCTGACCTCTAAAGGTGCTCTAGTGACAAACGCTAGAGGCCATGGTCTTTAGCCTCCTTGGTAGAGCAACCAACTTCCATGCGGAAGGTCGCCAGTTCAAAACCAGCTCGGAGTGGGTTGGGTGGCATAGGACCGACGGGGTTACATTAGCATGTTGTCAGAATGATTCTAGCTTGGATTAGCATATTGTTGGCGTGATTCCAACATGAATTAGCATGTTTCTATCATGAATTAGCATGATTTTAGCATGAATTAGCATGTTGTTAACATGATTCCAACATGAATTAACGTGTTGCTAGCATGATTTCAACATGATTTAGCATGTTGTTAGGATGATTTTAGCATGAATTAGCATGTTGTTAACATGATTCCAACCTGAATTAGTATGTTGTTAGCACGATTCGAGCAAGAATTAGCATGTTGTTAACATGATTCTAGAATGAATTAGCATGTAACTAGCCTGATTCTAACTCGAACTTGCATGATTTTAACATGAATTAGCATATAACTAGCCTGATTCCAGCTTGAATTAGCATGTTGTTAACATGATTCCAACATGAATTAGCATGTGCTAGCATGACTAGCATGTCACTAGCATATTTCTAGCACGATTAGCATGTCAGTAGAATGTTAGAATTATTAGCATGCGTTAGAATAGCTAGTCACAGTCTATGAGACAGTTTCTAGGGTGCTGATATTGGTTGCTAGGAAGTGGCTAGTAAGTTCAAAGGTCGTCAGTTGGAGTTGAATGAGGCCAGAAGTCAATGGGACTTTTGGGAAATTTCTAGGTTGTTTTTCGGAAAACTGAAAGTCGGATCTGTTAGAAAAGACATAGCAACCCGAGTCAGACCAGTATGAAGGTTTGACGAAAGTTTGAAGGATATAGCTTGAACGGTTTAGGAGGAGAAGCACTTTAAAATCAGCCTCAATATGATGCACAAGCTCTGCACACCTGTCTTTGGGAATTTCTGCCCATTCATCTTTGCAGCACCTCTCAAGCTCTATCAGGTTAAATGGGAAGCGATGGTGTGCAGCCATTTTCAGATCTCTCCAGAGATGCTCAATAGGATTTAGGTCTGGGCTCTGGCTGGGCCACTGGGCCACTGGGTGTGCTTTGGGTCACTGTCCTGCTGGAAGATGAATCGTATAGTATGGTAGTATTACTATTGGGATGCAGCCACAGGTGTCTGTAGCTCCGCCCTCTTCAGAAAAGAGCACAATCTCATTTGCATTTAAAGCGACAGTCACCAAAACACCACGATCAGGATCAAAGGCTGAAAGGGTCCGTTTCAGAGAGCTGGAGAACATCATCTGTGTGCTGTTCTCAGCTCAAACTCAAACACACGCTCTCTAGAAACAGCAGAGACGCATGTACAGCTTGTCAGTACCTCTAGGATTTTGCAAAAAAAAATCTGATCTGAATGCTTGATTATGTGGTGAGTTTTTGTGTCAAATTTTGCAGCATTTCTTTTATTTTTTTACTGTGAAAATAGACACAGATGTACACATCTTATCATGCTTTTAAATGCAAAACTATGCAGATGTCAGCTCTGTGGCACAGCAGGAATTTAAACAGTGTCTCAACCATGCAAAATATGCAGGAAATTTACAAAAATGCAAACTTCACACAGTATTTTCCAACATTTGCTGGACTTTGCGGTAAATTAAGTGATGGCAGAAAAGTGAAATACTGAAAACTCTGTAAAATGCGTCCATTTTGAATCAAATGATGTGCATTGATGCGTTGTTTTCAATATTGCTCAGGAATGAGAATTGTCATGTGTGTTGCACAGCCTCACTTTGCGGCGGAGAATCTGGAGCTGATCAGAGACGAGGACGGGAATAATCTTCTGCACGTGTCTGCGGCTCAGGGACACACAGACTGTCTGCAGCACCTGACGTCTCTCATGGGCGAAGACTGCCTGAACGAACGCAATAAACAGCAGCTCACGCCTGCAGGACTCAGCGTACGGGTGTGTATGTCACATCACACGCACACACGCGCACACGCACGCACACACACACACACACACACACACACACACACACACACACACACACGCACACACAGTCGCAGTACAGCTGCACACTATAAATAAACAATAAACTAAATATATTTAATAAACTAAATGAATCGCATGCATTGGGTGTTTAGGCAAATCTGACCAATCAGAGGTGTTTACCAAGTTTAACCCCGCCTCTCCAGTAGCTGAAAATCAACACTTAGGGCTCGTTCACACCAAGCACGAAAACTATGAGGTAGTGCTGGACACACATTAATCACAGTAAATCACATCCACAATAAAAGTTTTTGACATTATAAAAGTGTGTGCGCTGTGCATATTTATTATTAATATATAGATATCGAATGCATGCATTTCTATGAACAAATGTTTATTTATGTTCATTATAATATAATATATATGATACAAATTATATTTAAATAACTATGTAGTCAAATTGTTTTGTATAGTTTTGTTTCTATGTATGTGTATAACATACACTCACTGGCCACTTTATTAGGCACACCTTTCTAGTACCGGGTTGGACCCCTTTTGCCTTCAGAGCTGTCTTAATCCTTGTCAGAGATTCATCAAGCTACTGGAAATATTCCTCAGAGATTTTGCTCCATATTGTCATGATAGCATCACACAGTTGCTGCAGATTTGTCGGCTGCACATCCATGATGCCAATCTCCCGTTCCATCACATCCCAAAGCTGCTCTATTGGATTGAGCTCTGGTGACTGTGGAGGCCATTTGAGTACAGTGAACTCATCGTCATGTTCAAGAAACCAGTCTGAGATGATTGAGCTTTATGACATGCTGCGTTATCCTGCTGGAAGTAGCATCAGAAGATGGAGACACTGTGCTCATAAAGGGATGGACATGGTCAGCAGCAATACTCAGGTAGGCTGTGGCGTTGATGCTCAATTGGTACTAATGGAGCCAAAGAAAATCTCCCCCACACCATTACACCACCACCACCAGCCTGAACCGCTGATACAAGGCAGGATGATCCATGCTTTCATGTTGTCTGAGCCGAGCATCCGAATGTGTCAGCAGAAATGGAGACTCATCAGAGCAGCAACGTTTCTCCAATCTTCTATTGTCCAGTTTTGGTGAGTCTGTGTGAATTGTAGCCTCAGTTTCCTGTTCTTAGCTGACAGGAGCGGCACCCGGTGTGCTCTTCTGCTGCTGTAGCCCATCCGCCTCAAGGTTGGACGTGTTGTGTGTTCAGAGATGCTCTTCTGCAGAGCTCGGTTGTAACGAGTGCTTATTTGAGTTACTGTTGCCTTTCTATCAGCTGGAACCAGTCTGGCCATTCTCCTCTGACCTCTGACCTCATCAACAAGGCAGAACTGCCGCTCACTGGATATTTCCTCTTTGTCGGAGCATTCTCTGTAAACCCTGCATGGTTGTGCGTGAAAATCCCAGTAGATCAGCAGTTTCTGAAATACTCAGAGCAGCCCGTCTGGCAGCAACAACCATGCCACGGTCACAGTCACTTAAATCCCCTTTCTTCCCCATTCTGATGCTCACTCTGACCTGCAGCAGATCCTCTTCACCATGTCTACATGCCTAAATGCAGTGAGCTGCTGCAATGTGATTGGCTGATTAGACATCTGCGTTAACTAACAGCTGGACAGGTGTGCCTAATAAAGTGGCCGGTGAGTGTATTATGTCAAAACAAACTTTAATTTGAATGTGATTAATTTTAATTAATGTCCGCCCAGCTCTAACTTTAATGGAAGCTGTTTAGCTGATGTAGAAAACAGACCACACTCGCTGATTACATCATCCTGCACTCATGGGCGTGTACTGACGTTTGTCCAATCAGATGATCTAGAGTGAGCACTAGATCAAGAGTGGCAGCTGTGATATCATGTCATGTGATGTGTTTGTGTGTGTGTGTGTGTATAGAACGGTCATCTGGAGTGTGTGCGCTGGATGGTGAGCGAGACGGAGGCCATCGCGGAGCTTAGCTGTACCCGAGAACACCCGAGCCTCATTCATTACGCTGCTCGATACGGTCAGGTGAGCGACTGGAGAAAGCAAACACACACTCACTATGAAAAATATCCATGAATGAGCAGTTTTCAGTATTTAATGATTCATGTTTTATTTAGTTAATGTTGATTTCTGCTGGTGAGTTGCATTATGGGATCTTGATCTTCCTTCCAGCAGCTTTTAACCTTGATCAGTGTGTAAAAGTGTGTGTTCTGCACATGTGTAATAGTGTGCAGTGCTGTATTGTGTGTGTGTTGGTGTTGCATATTAGCTTGCAATAAACTGCAGCACATTTACTTTTACTCTGCACTCTTATTCCTCTACAGATGATCTCTGATATTATTTTAAACCACTAAAATGTCAATAAAGTCTCTTTGTTAAGCTGCAGAGTTTAATTATCAACATCAGCAGTCGACAGAGCAGAGATCAACATCCCATAAATAAACTCTCTCTCTTTCTGTGTGTGTGTGTGTATGCGCATGCATGTACGTGTGTGTGTGTGTTGCAGGAGCGTGTGCTGCTGTGGCTGCTGCAGTTTATGCAGGAGCAGGCCATCTCTCTGGACGAGCAGGATCAGAACGGGAACTCTGCGGTTCATGTCGCCGCTCAGTTCGGTCATCTGGGCTGCCTTCAGGTGCGACACACTCAGACAGGAAGCGGCTCTCCCTCACGCTTCCTGCTGCACTTCCTGCAGACTGGAAGAAAAACACTGGCTCTCCCTCACACTGATCAATCTGCGAGCAGTTTCACGATCAAAACTGTTCAGAAAGAGTGAAGATGCTGGATGGCATTATACATTACGGTTCTGTTAGTGTTAGTAAATCTATTTCATCAATGAGCAGTACATTTATACACTGTACATCTGTAAAACATTAGCTAATGATTGTAGATTAGTCTTTGTTAGCTGGTTAACTCGCAGTGCATGAACTATTCCTAACTAGCAAACTTCTGCTTTTAGTAATGCATTAGTGAATGTTGACTTAATCACGGTGTGATGAGACGCTTACGCCATCTAAAGTGCTATTCCCTCGCCAGGGTTGCGCAAGTTACAGAAAAAAAGTACCTATATACTAGAGATGGTGGACTCGAGTCACATGACTTGACTCGAGTCAGACTTAAGTCACAAAATGTAGGACTTGAGACTTGCTTGACAAATATCCAAAAAAGACTCGACTTGACTTGGACTTGACTGTCAGGACTTGAGGCTTGACTTGGACTTGAGTTAAATGACTTGAAAAAGGACTTGTTTTTGTTAAATACACAACGTTTGTTTTATACTCAGCATTTAAAAACAAAACCAGAAGTTACGCATGCGCAGTATTAGCAGCTCATCGCTTCTCAGATCGGTCCGAAAGAATCGGTTGAATTTGCTGGACTGGATCATTCGGTTCATTAGGAAGAACCGCTTTAAATGATTCATTAGATTCATTTAAACGATTCATTTGAACGATTCATTTGCTATTCGGCCATCAGATAATGCTGTGATGAAAAATGGAAGGCGCTCCGCCAAAGATTGTACGGGTTTAAAGTTTACAAACAAGACGGCTAATCAAAACTTATACTTTTATATATGACTCAGTGCTTGTGTATATTTAGTGACAGTCATTATCATTCTCCTACACTGTTTTGTATCCGCCTAATTTAACAAACATCCGCATTTGCTGTATATTTTTGTTAATTTGATGACGTCATCAGGCCAATACACAGGCTGTTGTCCATACATTTCTATAATGCTTTGAACTTGAAAGAGAGACGCAGTTTTGACCTGTGAGCGGTGCTCGTGGCTCCTGAATAAGAGAAAGTGGATGTCTTTTTTACTTTAACCCATTGAAATTAAACAGTGTATAACACTGTCATAATAAATGAAGTTATTGTAAAACATTATTGCAAACAATTTTCCGTGGAACAAAAATTAAGAATTAAGTTAGGCAAAACAAGAAACTATTTCAGACCATGGATCTCAAAACATCTGTATGTGTGGAATGGGCTATATATATATATATATTATCTGGAATCTGAAGGTTCAAAATGACATTTAGAGTTCATTCTTAGCCATTCATATCACTAATCAACACATTTGTTTTATTGGAGTTATTGAAATGTACAAAATGTCTTCGAGGAAGATGATCTTTACTTTAAACACAATAATGTTTTTTGTAATAGAAGAAAAACTTATCGTTTTGATTCAATTTTTTCCCCCCAAAAATATACCTGTGCACTTTAGGATTGGTTTTGTCATTAAGGGTCTTGTCTATTAATAGTATAATATTTTAATGACTTTGAAGTAAGCACACTCATTCCCCTGAGCAGAAAGCCATCTGATTCTGATATATATATATACACAACAGTTCTGTCTGGTTCTCAAATCTGATTGGCTGATAGCCGTGTGATATTCTGCAATATCATAACTCCTACAGCCTCTTTACCCTTTGTGTATTACTCCGCCCACATACAGCCAGCAGAAAGCAGACACTACAGATCTACAGTTTAAAAGATGCACGCTCAACTGTGTAACTGTCAGCTTATGATTTGAATCCAATGTGGAAGAATGTAGTTCCTCATACAAAAGGGTTTTTAAAACTCTCCGTGTTTGATTTTGTTTTATATACACAATTATGCCGTCAAACTGTTGTATAAACGCAATATCACACGAGTAGCAGTGCAATATGACTGTATATTGGCCATCACACGCCTCCCACCAGTGCCGATATACAGCCATATCGCACTGCTACTCGTGTGATATTGCTCATATATATATATATATATATATATCATTAGATTGACTTGAAAGTGACTTGCTAGACCAGGCTACGACCTAACGTGACTTGAAATAAGCAGTGACTTGACTTGACTTGAGTCTGACAAAAAATGACTTGACTTGCTTAAGACTTATGACTTGAGACTTGCTTGTTACTTGCACATGTGTGACTTACTCCCACCTCTGATAAGTACAGTTACTAGTTACTTTACTCAAAAAAGAACTCAATTACTTGATCGAATACTTACACCAAAAAGTAATGCATTACTGTTAGGAGTAAAGGACATTTTAATGCTCCCATTAATGCCTTAAACAACACTTCAGTGCTGCATGGAGAATACTCTGCAGATCGGCCTCTCAGTTTAATTAATCTGCATTCTCACAACTAAAACGCAAGACTTGAACAGAAAGTCATTTTAAACACTCATTTATTTAAGTGAGACCAGCAGCACAAAAACAATATCACAAGATGATAAACAAGCTGAATCATATATTCAGAAACAAAAAGCAAAAACTAAAGTTTCTTCAGCGTCTGAAAACTATTTATATTTAACCCTTAAACTTGTTCCTTCACAGCTTAAGTTTGAAAATAGCGACAATATACAACAAACACCTTTATAAAGTAATCTGAATTATCATTCACAATCAATTTCTGTCTCTCTCTGTGTGTGTGTGTGTGTGTGTGTGTGTGTGTGTGTGTGTGTGTGTGTGTGTGTGTGTGTGTGTGTGTGTGTGTGTGTGTGTGTGTGTGTGTGTGTGTGTGTGTGTGTGTGTGTGTGTGTGTGTGTGTGTGTGTGTGTGTGTGTGTGTGTGTGTGTGTGTGTTTCTCAGACTCTGGTGGAGTACGGCTCTAATGTGACGGTGCAGAATCAGCAGTGTGAGCGCGCGTCTCAGTGTGCGGAGCGTCAGGGTCACACCACCTGCTCCAGGTACCTGGTGGTGGTGGAGACCTGCATGTCTCTGGCCTCGCAGGTGGTCAAACTCACCAAACAGCTGCACGAGTAAGAGATGCACTCACTCATGTGTCTGACCGACCGCTGCTGAGGGTGTGGAGTGTGTGACGCCGGTGTGTGTGTGTGTGTTTCTGACAGGCAGACCACGGCGCGGGTGGCTCTACAGAATCAGCTTCAGCTTCTGTTGCAGACACAAGAGCCTAACGGCAGACCACCATCTCCCAGGTCTGACAACACACACACACACACACACACACACACATGTATGATGTACAGCAACCGGCCCATTTTTAGATGCATTCCATAGCAACTGGCACATTTTTAGATGTGTTTCCTAGCAACCAGCCCATTTTTAGATGCATTCCATAGCAACTGGCACATTTTTAGATGTGTTTCCTAGCAACCAGCCCATTTTTAGATGCATTCCATAGCAATCGGCCCATTTTTAGATATATTTCCGAGCGACCGACTTATTTTTAGATGTATTTCATAGCAACAGGCCCATTTTTAGATGTTTTTCCTAGCAACTGGCCCTTTTTTTGAAGCATTCCATAGCAACCGGCCCTTTTTTTGAAGCAATCCATAGCAACCGGCCCATTTTTAGATGCATTTTTAAGCAACTGGCTTATTTATAGATGTGTTTCCTAGCAACCGGCCCATTTTTAGATGCTTTCTTTAGCAACCGGCCCATTTTAAGATGTATTTCTATAGCAACCGGCCCATTTTAAGATGTATTTCTATAGCAACCGGCCCATTTTAAGATGTATTTCTTAGCAACCGGCTAATTTTTAGATGCATTCCATAGCAACCGGCCCATTTTAAGATGTATTTCTTAGCAACCGGCCCATTTTTAGATGCATTCCATAGCAACTGGCCCATTTTAAGATGTATTTCTTAGCAACCGGCCCATTTTTAGATGCTTTCTATAGCAACCGGCCCATTTTAAGATGTATTTCTATAGCAACCGGCCCATTTTAAGATGTATTTCTTAGCAACCGGCCCATTTTTAGATGCTTTCTATAGCAACCGGCCCATTTTAAGATGTATTTCTATAGCAACCGGCCCATTTTAAGATGTATTTCTTAGCAACCGGCCCATTTTTAGATGCTTTCTATAGCAACCGGCCCATTTTAAGATGTATTTCTATAGCAACCGGCCCATTTTAAGATGTATTTCTTAGCAACTGGCTAATTTTTAGATGCATTCCATAGCAACCGGCCCATTTTAAGATGTATTTCTTAGCAACCGGCCCATTTTTAGATGCATTCCATAGCAACCGGCCCATTTTAAGATGTATTTCTTAGCAACCGGCCCATTTTTAGATGCATTCCATAGCAACCGGCCCATTTTAAGATGTATTTCTTAGCAACCGGCCCATTTTTAGATGTATTTCTTATTAACCGGCCCATTTTTAGATGTATATCCCATCAACCGGCCAATTTTAACATGTATTTTCTAGCAAACGGCCCATTTTTAGATGTCTTTCATTGCAAATGGCCCATTATTAGATACATTTCATAGCAACCCGCTCATTTTTTAATGTATTTCATTGCTAACAGCCCATTTTTAGATGTATTTTCTTCTAACCGGCCCATTTTTAGATGTATTTCATTGCAAATGGCCCATTTTTAGATGCATTCCATAGCAACTGGCGCATTTTTAGATGTATTTTCGAGTGACCGACTTATTTTTAGATGCATTTCATAGCAGCAGGCAAATTTTTTATATTTTTCCTAGCAACCGGCCCTTTTTTAGAAGCATTCCATAGCAACCGGCCCATTTTAAGATGTATTTGATAGTAACCGGCCCATTTTAAGATGTATTTGATAGTAACCGGCCCATTTTAAGATGTATTTGATAGTAACCGGCCCATTTTTAAATGCTTTTTCGTGCAACCGGCTTATTTATAGATGTATTTCATAGCAACTGGCCCATTTTTAGATGTATTTCCCGCCAACCAGCCCTTTTTAAGATATATTTCCTAGCAACCGGCCCATGTTTAGATGTATTTCATAACCAGCAGATTTCCAGATGTTCTTGTATCTTGTGTTGTCTGACAGATGTTCTCTGTCTCTGTTCAGCTGTCGTGTTCCTCCGTCAGACTCGTGGCCTGAAATGACCCTGACAGCAGAAGTGGCTCCTGAAAACGGCCAGTGGGTCCTGAAGCAGAAACACACGGAGACAGACGGAGTCATGCGGAAACTGCTGGCGAAAGATGCAGCAGAGCGAACCCATCCCAGAGACACCCACGATGCAGGGGCGGAGTCAGGGGCGGGGCCAGGGGCTGGACCAATGAAACGGCTGGGAGTGGGGGAGAGGCGGGAACTCAAGCTGGCGCGTCTGAAGCAGATCATGCAGCGTTCGCTCAGTGAGTCTGACGGAGACGTCTATCCTCCAGACGAGACCAAACACATGTCCAGACCCACACAACTGCCCATCCCCGAGGCTGAGGAGCCCAAAAACACACACTCCTCCAGCGAACGCAAGCTCTCCTTCACACACAGGACTTCCAAATCTGTGGACGCCTGTAACCCGTCTCCATCATCAGACCAGAGCGATCCTGAAACCAGAACAGAAGCGGGAGATAAAGTCACCACCAGTCCTAAAAGTGCGCTCAAATCTCCGTCCTCCCGCAGGAAAACCTCGCAGAATCTGAAGCTGAGAGTCACGTTTGATGAGCCGCCGCGGAAAGACGGAGCCGCTGGCGACACTAAAGCCCCGTCCACTAAAGAAAAGAGACCCTTCGGTGCGTTTCGCTCTATAATGGAGACGCTGAGCGGAAACCAGAACAACAACAACAGCAACAGCAGCAGCAGCAATGCTCAGAGTCCTGGAAAACACACCGGGAAGAAGAGCAAGAGCAAGACGAGCGCTGTGTAGAGCAGCCGATGACTGTCAGAGCCCTGGGTTAAGGGTTAGTTCACACTAAAATGACAATATCCTGCTCATTTACTCACCCACAGCTCATCAGAGATGCACACTGTAGGTAATGAACAGCTTCTGTGTTTATTAGCGGTGGTGAACTGCATTATGGGATGTTGATCTCTGCTCTGTCCACTTCTGATGTTGAATATTAAACTCTACAGTTTAATAAAGAGACTTTTACTGACATTTTAGAGGTTTGAGATGAAATCAGAGATAATCTGTAGAGGAATAAGAGTGTAGAGTAAGAGTAAACGTGCTGCAGTTCATGACACGGAGTCTGTAGTGTAATATACAACACCAACACACACACACACAATACAGCACTGCACACTATTACACACGTGCAGAACACACACTTTTACACACTGATCAAGCAGAGGTGGGGATCCACATGCAGGTTTATTAGAATGGACAGTCAAGCAGTGGTCAATACAGGGGCAAACTGATGTATGAGGGCAATCCAGAGTCGACATCAAATTAACAGGCAGATGGTCAAAAGGCAGGCAGCAAACAGGACGAAACACATAAACAAGGCAAAGGATCAAACACACGGCAAAGGCAGACCAAGGAAACACGTTGTAGTGTCACTATAGCAGATAACAAGACTCAGCAAAGAGTATTTGTGTTTGAGCAGTACTTCTACACCATGAATCAGGCTGGTGTAATCAGTCAGGATCTAGAACATGTGTGAATGGAGGGCATGTATGAAGTTGTAGTCCATGAATTAGCGCAGGGGTGTCAAACTCAATTCCTGGAGGGCCGAAGCCCTGCACAGTTTAGTTCCAGCCCTGCTCCAACACACTTACCTGGAGGTTTCAAACAAGCCTGAAGGACTCAATCAGTTTGATCAGGTGTGTTTAATTAGGGTTGGAAGTAAACTGTGCAGAGCTGCGGCCCTCCAGGAACTGAGTTTGACACCTGTGACCTAGCGGATTTGTAGTTTGTGCGAGTGTGAATGTTTTCCAGCGACCTCTGGTGGTTAGAGATCGCTGGTGATCATGACATTTACACACGAGTAGGTTAAAAGCTGCTGGAGGAAAGGTCAACATCCCATAATGCAGTTCACCAGCAGAAATAAACAGGGAAATATTAAACGTGAATCGCAGAATCCAGAAAACTGCTGATGAGTGTGACTTTACAGCATCACAGCAGGCTTTGAGCTGACTCTGTGGGGTTTGGGGCTTCATATAATGGCAGTGAATGGTGACCGATTTATAAATAAACACACACAGATGAGTCCAAATCTATAGCCGTGGCTCCTGATCACACACTGAGCTCATGTAAAGCTCCCGGTAAAAAATTCAACATTATTTACAATATTATAGCTTTAATCCAGTGAAGCGGGGGTGTCCAAACTCAGTCCTGGAGGGCCGGGCTCCTGCATACTTTAGTTCCAACCCCAATTAAACACACCTGAAGCAGATGATCAAGCTCTTTCTTGGTTAACCATAAACTTCCAGGCAGGTTGAAGGAAGTTGGAGCTAAACTATGCAGGACAGCGGCCCTCCAGGACTGAGTTGGACACCCCTGCAGTAAAGCAGTCACACGTGCTGATACCTGTTTGGATTCATGCTGTAAGTGATGTTCAGTTTCCTGTAGGGAGTGATGGTTTCTGTTTACAAGATCTCATTATTTTTAATCTACTTAACATGTCAGTGTTCTCTGCCGTTATATGAAGCGCTGAGAACCACAGATTCAGCTCCCAATCTCCATTAATGTAATAAAAAGCTCATCTGGGATGAGCTGTGGGCGACTTCATTAACAGGAAGCTTTCATATTTGGGTGATCTGTGCCTTTAAGGGTTAGTTCACACAGAAATTAACCATGTTATTAGCTTAAACCAGCCTAGGATGGTTGGCTGGTTTTAGCTGGTCGACCAGCCTGGTTTTAGAGGGGTTTTGGCCATTTCCAGGCTGGTCTTAGCTGGTCAGACTGGAAAATGACCAGCTAAAACCAGCATGACCAACCTGGTTTAAGCTGGACATGTTTAAGCTGGGCTCCCAGCCTGGCTAGGCTGGTCAAGCTGGTTTTAGCTGGTCATCTCCCAGCCTGACCAGCTAAGACCAGGCTGGAAATGGCTGGAAACCAGCCTGGAAATGGCCAAAACCCCTCTAAAACCAGGCTGGTCGACCAGCTAAAACCAGCCAACCATCCTAGGCTGGTTTAAGCAGTTTTTTCAGCAGCTCTCTCAGGAGGATTAAATCAAATTTAGTGTTTATTTAAAACAAAAGGAAGCTGATCTGCCAGTGGGTGAGGAACACCTGGTTTTCTGTGTGAAATGACCAGATTAATTCCCCTCACTGGCAGATTATTCAGTAACTCACTATAATAACTGCACACTATGAGTCATTTATGAATTATTGGCATCTAGTGAATTC